CGACACAATTTTTGCTAAATATGGTGAAAACGTTGATCGCGCCAAAAACCGAAAAGACCAGGCGCGGCTAGACGCAAGACACGGCAAATGTTAAATCTTTTTTTTGTGTTTACCGTAAAGTCTGGAAAGATAGCATCCCCCGAAAGATAGCACCCCTACTTTAAAACAATTGAGCGTCAATATAAAAAAAATGCTACACATGTAAAAAGGGGATGCTATCTTTCCAGACTTTACGGTAGTCACTTAGTCCCACTTAGTCTGCGCCGCAGCGATGATATTGGTTAGTCATGTGATATTTTCTAGTCATTACATATAATAAATATATAGTAAATCTGCAATAATAAAAACTAAAAATTTTTAAACGAAAAATTATAAAACACGTAAAATAATAAAAACACATAATTCTTTGTAGTAAATACCCTGTCTAGAAGGTTTCTGTGGTTCATAAATAAATACTTTTTCTGAATTAAAGTATATATATACTTGTATGTCTGCCAATTCCTTGGTAGACAATTAATTACCTAAAAATTAATACAATGGAAAATCATGAAAACTCTGCAAGATTGCAAAATGGACTTGAAAATGTCAGTAATAATGACATTGATTCTGATATGAATTTAGATCAAAGTGAAGATAAGGATTGGACTGTTGTCAAAAGAAAGGAACGTTTTATTGTTCAAATTGAAGCTGAAAATGTCCCTGGTGGTAATAATAATGCAAAACTTGCATCAGCTTCAAAAGTATTATCAAATATTCAGCCCCTTGTTGGCTTAAATATTAAATATATTAAAGGAATCAAATATATTGTAGCAACCTTTGGAACAAAAGAAAATGCAGATAAGGCATGTGAACTGCCTTTTGCAGAAAATAGTGACTTTAAATTTCAAACACATAAAGAAATATCTGTTCAAGATTATCGACAAAGAACTATTAGCATAAGAGATTTACCCTTAACTGCAAAAAAAGAAGTTTTAATGAATATTCTATCTTCTTATGGAGAAATTACAAATATTAAAATGAGAGCACAAGGAACTTGGTATAAAGCACAAATTACATTCAAAGATAAAGAATCCATGAGCAAACTTGGGGATAAATGGTCAATTATGTACTTAAAAGATAGTTGTAGAATTGCACCATTGGATGTTACCAAAGAAGAAATAGACGAAAGAAATAGTCGTACTCTAAAACTCACTAATCTGCCATATGGCACAACAGCATATGATTTACATGATATTAGTTTAGCAGTAAAGGCTAAAACTTGTTTTATTACAAGAACAAGACAACAATACACCAGAAAAAGATTTGCTTACATAACTTTTGAAAATGATGAAGATATGAAAAATGCATGTCTGACAAATTTTGCCTTCAGAAACAATAATCTCTCTTGGGAAAGTGATGAACACAAAACATGTCATAAATGTGGTAACAGTGATCATTTAATAGCTGTTTGTCCAGAAAAAGAAAAAAATGATGAAATTAAACAAAAAAATGCACGTCTGCAAGGACTTTATCATAAATATAGAGTTCCTCAGCCAAAATCAAATTCACAAAAAGCTCAACAAAGAATTATTGAACCAAATAATTCAATTAAAAGAGTTTCTTATGCAGAAAAACAAAAAATTCAAAACAAATATTTAAACAAAATGAATCAAATTTAAAAATGAATGTTAATAATAATATTAAAAAAAATGAGAACATAGTAGAAATCATGAAAAACATTCAAAAAGATTTAAAAAAAATAATGCTAGACATAGAAGAAGTAAAGAAGAGAGTAGAAGCATTGGAGAATAATGCTGGCACAAATTTATCAAATACTTCAACTCAACATAAAACAACTGAAAATAAATTTCAAAATAACTCATCTAAAGTTAATTCACAAAAAGGAAATAATAAATTAGATATTTCAATTTTGTCAAAAGGAAAAAATATTCCTTCTACATCCAAACATACACAAAAAAGAAAAAAAATGAATGAATCAAGTGATGAATCTCTTAATGCAGAGATTAATGATGAAATAAATGATGAAATAAATGAATTGAAAATTAAACAAAATAATATTGAACACAACACAAAACAAATGAACGAAAAAATAAACAAAATCCTCAATATTTTTGAAAATCAATACCAAAATAATGATGAAATGGATCAAGGTGCTATTAGCACCAGTCAGAATAAGTTTTAATTAATTAACTTATGATTAACAACAATAATTCAAATAATATGGGTATAAACAACATAACCAATACCCAAATAAATTTTAACAATAATGAAAATAACATAGAAATTGATGGTAACTTATTAAAAATAGCAAATCATAATGTAATGGGCATGAAAGACCCAGTTAAACAAGAACAAATTATTAATACTATAGAAACTTTACAATTAGATGTTTTAGGTTTATCTGAAACAAATTTAAATAATAGAACTGCGTCACATATATATAAAAATAATAAAAATTATTCATCTTTTTGGAGCTGTTCAGAAGACAAACCAATAGGTTCTGGGGTTGGGATAATTATACACAATAAACTAGCAAAATACATTCAAAAATCAACTGAATTCAAAGGACGTGCAATATTTATAGATTTATTTTTACGAGGAAATGTTAAGATTAGAATTATACAAATTTATAACTATGCAAATTTAAGTATGAAAAAAGAAAAATTGGAATTATATGAATACATTATAAATATCATAAAACAAGCAAAAAATGAAAATTTCTACATAATTACAATGGGAGATTTTAACTTATCACCAGAAAAAATGAATGAATTAAAAATAAAAAATAGAATACTTCCTTATCAGTACAAACTAATAGAGGAACTTGAAAACACAAATTTCACAGATGCATATGAAATTTGTCATGAACAAAAAATACCAACATATAAAAGTGGAGAAAACAGCTCTCGAATTGATTTATGTTGGTTTTCAAATAATTTGCTATCAGACTTCCTTTATTGTAGCAACTATCACATTTATTTATACCCGTCAGATCACAATATGATCATCACATACTTTTCAACTGATGGTATATTAAAATATCAACAAGAAGCCAAAGCTAAACGTTATCAAACTAAGAGAAGAATTTTTAAATATGATAATATGTCCAAAGAAAAATGGAAAGACTTTGCAAACTACTCTAATGAATTATTAAAAAAAAGTTTCTTGTATAAAGAAAATGCTAAGATAATTAATCAAATAACACTTGACAAAACATGGAATAAAATTAAAGAGATAATTTTGCAAGCTGCAGAAAAACACATTCCCTATAAATGGACAACTAATATAAAATCAAATCAAAAAGATAAATCACCAGCATTAAAACAACATTATTTTCATTTAAAATCTATCAGTAAAATTCTATTAAGATTAGGAAAACGCAAAATTAGCAGTAAAGGTTTTCCAAATAATATAGAATGGAATGAAATGAAAACAAATCTTGAGAGCATTTCAAATAACATTAAATATCCACTAGAAGAAATTGATATAAATATTAATGTCAATAATATCAGCAAAATAAAAAAAATCACTTTTAAAATATATAACACATTATCTACAATATGTAAAATAAAAGAAAAACAAGTAAAACAAGAACAAATTAATTTATTAATCAATAAAAGATGTGAAAACTACAAGGATGATCAAAGCACAATGATTGACTCCATTTTGGAAAGAAATCATAAACGAATAATTCTAGACAGGGTTCTTTTTAAAGAAAATAACAACTTAATCTTAACAACAGATCCTGAAAAAATTAAAGCAATAACAAATCAACATTTTCAAAATGTAGCTAGAAGAAAAAATGAAATAAAACAAATCAATAATTATTGGAAAAATCAATATCTTCCAAAAGAAGAAATTAACTCTGATATTTATAAAAATGTAATGGATCCACCCACATACAAGGAATGGAAACAGGTAATAACAACTCTACCAAATAACAAAGCTACTGGTCCCTCTAAAATCAGCAATGAAATGATCAAACATCTGGGAAAGAATTTAGGAAAATGTCTCTGGAAATTAATTTCTGCATGTTTTGAGATGAATGAAATACCAAACCAATGGAGAATAGCAACAATTTACCCCATCCCTAAACCAATGGATTGGGAATGTTCTTTAGATAAAACAAGACCTATAACTCTTTTGGAAACAGTAAGGAAAGCAATGGTGAAAATCCTAAATAAACGACTTTCTGAAATATTAGCAAAAAATAATATCCTAAAAGGAGATAATTTTGCCGGATTACCTGGTGGTTCAACTTTTGAACCAATCAGAGCACTTAATTCCATAATTGAAGAGTCCAATGAATACAAAAAAGAGATTTGGATTTTATTTCAGGACCTTTCCAAAGCATACGATTGTGTTAATATCAGAATGCTAGAAAAAGCTATGCAACGTCTCAAATTTCCTCAAAAATGCATAAATCTCATAATAAACCTTTTTACAAAAAGGAAAAATAAAGTTATCACATGTCATGGCGAGACAGATTCTTATGAAGTATTGGTTGGAATTGACCAGGGTGAGGTCATTTCACCACTTTTGTGGTGTATTTATTATGATCCACTTTTGTGTGAAATAAAAAAACAAAAAAATATTGGTTACAAAATGGAAGTAAATTGGAAAGCAGATATATCAAAACCTGAAATAGCAAAAATATCTGCAGAAATATCAACACTCGCATACATGGATGATACAACCTGGATCACAACATCCAAAGAAAATCTAGAAAAAATACTAGAAATTGCAGATGACTTTTACAACTTGAACAATATTCAAATAAATAAAAACAAATCAGTACTTCTAACTTCACAAACTGATCAAGAACAAAATATAATCAATCTAAAATTTGGCAATTCTACAATCAATATCAAACCAATTTCAAAATCAGAATCTGTAAGATTTTTGGGTGTTTGGATTAATCTGAATAATCGAAAAAACTTTGTTAAAAATCAAATAATAAATGAAATCAACAAATCATGTAATATGATGTCCAGAAAACCTCTTACAGATAAACAACTAATATACATATTTAACAAAGTTATTATACCAAGAATTGAATATAGAGCACAACTTACCATATTTACAAAAGATGAGGCTTCAAATTTCATGGCTATTTTCAGAAAATTCTTCAAAAACAAACTACATATAAATTCAAAAGCACCAAATGTAATTATGCAATGCAATAATATCTACAATGTCATAGATTTGTATGATTTACAACAAAGATGCCAACTAAATAATCTAAACATACAAATCAATGATAAGCATACCTTGGGAAAAATTACAGATATTAGGCTAAAACAACTACAAATAAAACTCTGGTTACCAATTTCACCATTATTAATAAACGATGCCCCTTTCAACAAAATAAAATGCAATATAATTGCAGCCACACTTTCTTTAATAAAGGATACCCC